ATATTAATGCTGCAATTGCAGTGAAAAGAACAAACTATTATTCTTTCTTACATAAACCACCTAGTTTCCTTGGTTAGTCACAAACAGGAAGACAATGGATAGAGCGTTCTTTAATTACGGACATGTAATGCGGAATGCAAAATGAAGGTTCATTTTCTTCAGTGCTCCTAAGATGCAGCAGCTCGTGATTTTTGGGCAGACATCACGAACTGAATATGTTTTGCTAGTAGGAAATGGAGAAAAAGCATGTGGCTGCTGGAATGTCGGTCTTTCTTACACTTTCATGAAAGGACCATTTGCCGCTTCTTTCGTTTCATGAAGTTAACGGCCGAGCGCTCGCTGTTCTCCGTTTCCATGTCATTTATTTTAAAGGCAGAGTCAACATCAAGCATGGTGTGCAGTCTCCTGTTTCCATCCTACTCAGTGCTACTGGCACTCATTTATGAACGTTGGAAGAAAGAAAGCGGTGGACCAAGGCCGGGACTCGATCTTGGACTTCTCGCTTCTGAGTCCCACGCTCTGCAGACTCAGCAAACTCGGTCTGAGCGCTTGGATCCACCAGTAATCGGCATCGAATTAGGATTGTGATGTTTGAAGCAGCGTGTGACAAATTTCTTGCTCAAGAGAATTCGTAGTTAAAGCTTCTGTTAATGGCATTCTGCATAAATGGCTTTAAGTGATCCAAGTACATAAGAGTATGACATATTACTCGTCAGAGAATTTTGTAGACATTACTTTCCACGCTCTGAATCACAGGTAATGTTGGTTTTAACTTCATAAATAAGCGAAATGTTTTACGTTTAGTTTCTTTGTGCAAAGCATGAATGCTAGTCAAAATAATGCTGATCACATTTGAAATATTTTTTCGTTTAGGTTTCCAGGGCCAAGCGTCTGCGCAATCTCAGTTAGCCCTCAGTGTCAAAGGTAAAATCTGTTGTTCAGGTTTTACATGGATTATGAAAAGGATACAGTTTTAAGCGATAAATGAGATTTTTTGCATATATTTAGCATAAGCTCGTTTTAAGAACTTTTCATGGCCAAAGTCAGCGTGCAGACTTACTTATATATATATATATATTCGCAAGCCAATAAGTAACGTAAATGCAGTTAAGTTTTCCTTTAATTAGCAACCGTATCTTTTTTACAAGTTTTCCTTAAACGCTAACAGCGCTCTGACCTGGTATGCTCAGAACTAAGTTTCGACGCATCCGGTCAGAAGTTAACCTCTGATTATACGTTGGCAGAAATCCGTTCATTTCATTTACCCAATGAATTCGCGAGTGTTCAACTGTGCTAAGTAGTTTATTAGTGATATCTGAGTGAGATATGACTACTTCATACCTAAAAATTAAACGTTGAAATTGACGGATTGTCTTCTATGACTTATTGTGGTACTTTGCATAAAATAATTCCTTTTACGTTATGTTTCAGGTTTTAAAAACATGTCTTTAAAGACGCTCAACGCAGCATTCCTTATTTCATTATGCGCCCTGGTCAGTTGCCTCGTTGCAACGTGAAAGTCGTTCTTCGCGATGCCAGTTTATTAGAGTGTACGTTTGGCTGGTGCACTGGACATTTGATCTGATGAATGATTGCTGCTCTTGTATACTTTGATTGTATGATAAATAAATGATTCCAAACGCTATGCATGCGCATCAGCTGCTGTCTGTGCTTAAAGCCGACGGAAATCAGTTAGCCTACCAGATTCAGTTTAGATTCCATATGTTTCAGAAAAGTTATATTATGCGCTGACCCTTTGGTCATTTGGAAAAATGACAGAAACCTGACTTTGAAATTGATCAAAACAACCTTAAGTGTCAGCCATTCGTCTTCTTCAGTTGTACAGCTGGAGAAGTGACTAGTGACTTTGCAGATAAATGCCTAGACTTTTAAGCAAATGAATGATTGCCGCGGTAGCATTCTGAACATAAATAATGCTGCCATGGAACTTACTCAACGGGCACTTGAAAATAATGTGCTGCATGATTTGATCTTCGTAGCCAAAGTCACACCATGGCGTGACTTCTTCTTCCAACAGGGAAGTATTCCGGAACATCGCTGGAAATCTAATTAACACCCTTGCATAATACATCCATCTGAAAGCTTTGCACAACAGTTCAACAGAATCGACTAAAAATTGAACAGCCCAATGGCTTACAAAATAATATTCCCAAAAGTTATTAAACAAACCACCCTTATTAATGATTCCTTATTTAATGAACTAGTTGGCAGAATCAAACGCTCTGTGATTAACTCTGCAGTAAATACTGCACTACATTTAGCCAACGAATTAAATGGCCTTCTGCGTAAAAAAATCATGTAACAAAAACAATAGGAATCTTGAATTTTAGTGATCTGAACGTGAGAAAATGTTGAGAAAACCGGAAGAAAGCTGAAAAG